AGGACAGGTTGCCCAGGTGTTTGGCCACATCTGTCAGAGCTCCTGAGAGCAGCTGTGGATCTGACAGTGAGCACTGGGCTCTGGCTCTGGTCTGAGTGGGTTTATAACTGCTGAGGAACGGCACGTTGTGTTTCTGCAGGTCTTCTTCAACAGCAGAGATACTGTCTGACAGAGAGGAGATCTGCTCCTGAATCATCTTCATCTCTCTGCTGATAGTCTTCCCCTTCTGCTCCTCTTCCTCCCTCAGAGCTGCCAGTCTGGACTCCTCTTCCTCTTTCAGGAACTGGTGGAGCTTGTTGAACTCTGCTCTGATCTGCCTCTCTGTGGACAACAGCTGCTTCTTGGAGTGTTGAATCACTTCACTGTATGTTTTCTCCACTTGTTTGTATTTGCTCCTCTTGTCCTGTAGAGACTTTAAGTCAGATTTCAGCTGCTCCTTCAAGTCACTGACTGCTTGTTCTACAGGAACCACCTTGTGACCGTGGTGGAGAGAAAACTCACAGACAGGACACACAGCTCTATCTTCATCCTTACAGAACAATTTAGGCTCTTCTTGATGTTTACTACAAACCACCTTCACCTTCTTCTCTCCCAGGTTTGTCTCAGATGATCCAGATTTCTTTCTCCCAGCAAAGGAATCAGCCAGTTCCTTCAGTGTAAAATTCACTCCTGGTTCACTCTTTGAAGATTTCCTTTTACAAATGGGACAGTTTTTGTTTTTAGCTTGTTCCCAGAATTTCTTCAGGCAGCTTGAACAGAAGCTGTGGTTGCAGCTCAGAGACACAGGATCTCTGAAAGTCTCTGAACACACGTGGCAACTCAGGAAACTTTCAACAAGAGCGACTTTCTCAGCCATTTCATATGCAGCAACAGCAAGACTCACCGAGTTATTGTTTCTTCAACTTTCTGCTTACAGTCCTTCAATTATGCGTTTTCCAGCAGAGGTCTCACACCCTGTAATGGCGTCTCAACAATGAATCAACAATGTCAAAATCTACTTTCATTTTCTTTTATGTCTGTCATTGGCTAAATTATCACCAGCAGAGAATTATGCCAAGTTGTTCTGTCACCAGCAGATGGAGCTGTCAACACATCAAGTAGAATTGAATATTCTCCTCTTTATAACATAATTCCAGATGTTATCAGCTGTTGTCCAGACGCAAACAAAAATAAAAGGTAAAATGTTTAAAAATGATGAATCTCATGTTTAAATTTAAATGAAAGAACATAAATGATCTTGTCTTTGAAATGACACAAACAAGGAGGTTTGTAGTATTTTAGTTCAGTGAGGACGGAACATTTCAACAGGCTGACTGACACTAAAACCAGTTTAACAACATTTTTATTTTCTATCGCAGAAGCAGGAAACATGCTCAGCTCATGTATCTGCATAACTGTGTTCATTTAATCTATTTGGACCAAATATAGAGACAGACAAGCTTTTACTTAGTTTGTATTTTATTCTTCTATTCATTCAAGTCAAACAGTGAAATTTACTTTTTTAAATGTATTGGTGAAACATTTTAAACATCAGACCAAACTCAGTAACATTAGGCCGCCTGTTTTTCAGCAATGTGTTACAGTATTTGTTGAAACAACAATCAGAGAATCAGAGTTTCTTATGGCCAGTGTTTTGCTTTCTTTCCATCTTATTTTATTCATTAATTAATTAATTTATTTATTTGATTCATTTATTCATTAAGTGTCTTTATCTTCTTGTTCACATTTAGGATTACTGGTGTTTGTCTCCTCATTCATTAGCTGGAATCAGATTATAAAAAATTGCAACTGAAATAACAAATTATCAACTTCTATGTTTGAAAACAACATAAATGTTCAGTAATTATTTTAAAAGACATCTTGAATTTATCAATATGATAATGAAAGTAGTTTTGTTAAAGACTTTGCTGTTGAGGAGATAAAGTTAAAATAGCAAGAATACATCCACCTCAAAATGCTTGAAACACTGATTTCATATGGTCATAATTTGTGGTGTCAGCTCTTAAAGGAAATTCAAGAAGGACACAGTGAAACTCGACTGAACCTTCCTTTATCTCACTGTTTGTTTCGATCTCCACTTGGTAGTATTCTAGTAGCAGCTGCATAAAACCTTACAAATAACACTTTTCATGGTTCTTATTAAGAGCAAAGTCATGACACATTAAAGTGAAGAAAGATGTAGTTCAGACAGAACAGAAGTTGTTTAATAGTAACATTTTCCATAAAGCGTCCGGCTGAACAACACATGATTAGGACCAATCTCCAACAGAAGAATGAGAGGTGAAAAGGTGAAACAGCAAACGTGACGGCTGCAGTCTGTTCAGATCACAGTAAATGGCCTCCATGTAAAACATGACCTTTGACCAGGATGGTGCACAACATTCACTGTAAAGCTCGCCAGATCCACAAAGAATAGTTGCTGCCAGGAACAAATCAATAGAAATCCCAACAAACAATTAGAAATAAACTAAATTTCAATCAGATCTCTTATTGTGAAAAAAAACAGAGGAATTGTTTAGGATTGAAGAAATTTCCAGATGTGTTCAGATTCTCAAGATTAGTCTTTTATCATTAACTGATGTTTTTCATAAACAACATGGGGATTGTAAAGATTATCAAGTGTAACAGAAATGAAAAACAAACTATGCAGCAACAGTAATTAAACCATAAAACCATAAGTCATTGCTAACACTTTGTCCTCTGGTGGATGTTGTATTAAATGGAAGATTCAACTTCTCTTAAATCTCCGCTCTCTCATATCCCTTATTGAAATAGTCTAACAATGAATCCCAAATACTCTTGGGTTAGTAGATTTGCATAAAACGAGTAGCAAATAAACAGTTAACATGAAACACAGCCTGGTCAGGGTCAAAATGTTAAGTTAAAGTTTGACCAGGATGATAACCTGGTCAGGACGAGGCGAGTGGTGCTGCCAAAGGTGTTGAACGTTGTCACACTGAATAAAGACAAATTCCCTGGAGGGCAGTGTAGACGATGCGTCATGAGGCCGTCCCACAGGGTGAACATGTAGGAGCTCTCCAGGCTGCAGCATAGAGAGCTTGATGTTTACTACACACTACTTCTAGTTTTTGCTCCCTTTTTCTGTCAGGAGATTCAGATTTCCTTCTCCCAGCAAAGGAATCAGCCACTTCCTTCAGTGCAAAGTTTATCAAGTGGAGAAATCTTTTGAGGATTTTCTTTTACAAATGGGACACAGACACAGGATCTTTAAAAGTCTCTGAACACACATGGCAACTCAGGAAACTTTCAACAAGAGCAATCTTCTTCAGCCATTTCTCTCAAATGTAAATTAATCCTTTAACAGCAAATCCCTGTCCCTTTGCATTACAGATAACAGTCCTTCTATTTAGTGTTTTTTCAGAGAGATCCTATTTCCTGTAATTGTGTCTCAGCTCTGTTTCAGTAATTTCCCTTCCCTTCTTCTAAGTAACTAACTCGCTGCCGACCTTTCATTTTCTCACCAGCAGATGCTGCTGTTTGTTTTATGAAACAGAATTTAGGGCAAATTTTCCACATATAGAGCCTTAGAATTGTGTACGTGAAAAAATATTTTAAAGTGAAAAATCAACCAAATATACTTAGTAAAAAGGAAATAATCAACCTCGTCAGTTCAGGTTACACAAACAAGTGTATGAAAAAAATAACTAATTTAATTAAACAACAATGTACAATCCCAAGAAAAGTCCTTTTATTTGTGCATAAAAAACTGAATGATCCACAAAAGAAATCATGTTGAAAAAAAAACATTACTCTTAAAATACACAAGCACATAAAGTACATAAATCTTAGATGTACAACAAAAATACTTGTAAAAAACACAGTAATAAAAAAACTTGAAAATAAATAATACCTCAAAAAATCAATAAATAAAACCAAAAGAACTAAACTGTTTCCGCAGCTTTTCTACCATCAGGCCATTTTTCACCAGTCCTCTCACTGG